TGACTGCTGTTAGAAAAAAACAATAGTAGAAATTGCATTGTTTTATCAACGGGAATTAATTGCAACGGCATTGAATCAAGAAACAACTGTTTGATTAGTTGTAATGTTGAAATTATGAAAAGACTAAAAATGATTGCAAATACCCGAGAAAGAACATAAGGGCAGCTGAATCCTGAGAAAGCGAATAGACGTGGTGATGAGGGATTATCATACTTTAGTTCTGATCATCAGCACTGCTACTGCAATGGCAGCTAGTCGGAACCATTCGATATAGAATCTCAAATTGTTCATTCCTCATTTGAGAAGAGCGCTTTGAATGAAAAATCGCTCAAATATCGTATTTTAATTGGAAAGTTTTTTGTCGTATCACGGCAGCCATATTAACATATAATCTATCTAGACACCTAATGACCAAACGCAAGAAAATTTTGCTCCGTTCTCTTCGAAAGCATTTCTCGTTTTTCTATCCTTCCCATTTCTTTCAAATTTACATTGCACGTACTTCATTTACACGAGAGTTCATTCATTCCTTCGAAAATGCAAATAAAAAATATCATCAGAAGAACCTTCTTGAAAACGAATTCGATGCTGAATTGATGCTTATCAACAGTTTGCATTGTTATTGTTGAGTTACGAAACACTGAAAGTGAACAAAAACTTATTATTACCGCATAATTTCTGATTGCATCCGATAGAAAATTCAAGGCAGATAGAATTCATTTGGAGTTTTCTTTTCAGTTCTCATCGTGAGATGATTTGTTATGTTAGAAAAAGAGTGGTTCTTACTGGAGTAAAATTCAACTTTAGGAGCAAATGGAGAACGTTGCAAAATTGAAACCGATAAGTACTTGTTCCATAGCTGCTCAAAGTTTTTTTCAAAACGTTTATTTGTCCAAAAGTTAGCGACCTCTTTGATAGTAATGACGAATTCCGGACAGCAAACTTCTTGATCACCGAATCAAATTTTCAATTTCCGTCTTTGTTGTCGTTTACAAGAAATACTAGAAGAGGGTGTGGGGGGATGGGGGGAGAGTGGTGGTCACATCGATTACTGTGAAGAAGAACGACCGTCTATCATATACCCAAATCGGAACACGAAGTAGGAGAGNGTGAGAAGCACTGAAACAGTAAGGATACAGTATTGAAGAGGAACAAGGAATGGAACTTTAAGGCTTTTTGAAAGAACAAAATGAGTCATTTAAAGAGATGCAAAATGAGCGGAATGCAAAATTAAGGCGCACGATTAAGTGCTGAAAAAATTCAAACTGAACCGAGAATGGCGAATCACATTTGCGGTTGCCGCAGTCCGAAGAAGATGTCATCAAAACAATTCAGCAAACCAAAATGATTCATCCAACAACGATGATCGAGGAATTCGATGAGAATCTAGGGCAAATAATACTGGATGAATGAATGAACGGATGATGCTTTCAATAAGAATGAGCACTGAGAGAGATCAAACAAAAATGAGAAAAAAAAGAAGAGGTGAGTGACTTCGAGCACTTGTACTTTTATAAGAAGCTGTAAGGGAAACGAACAAATAACGGAAGAAAAATTCATCGTGATGGAAATTGGCTGCCTTGAATAATCCTCTTTTGATGATCAACTTTTCGGTGACTATTTTCTCATCTCATCGAGGCATTTTCCACTCATTCACAATGCATAAGCATTGAAACGCAATAACGAGATGAATAAACTGTCATCAAAAAATGAATGTGTTAACGAAACTGAAATAAAGAAATTAGTGAGTAAGTGTTAACAAAATCACTTCGTTTAAATAGCAGTTTTGATGTCATTGAAATAGTGAGTGAC